AATTACGCAGCAGCAGATAATCCGATAACAGTAGGTGCCAGCTGCATTTATGCTAGTTTTAGCTAATGTACCAGATTTAGGTCGGTGGACACCGGCGGAATTCGGTGCTGCAAGCCTCTGCAAACTAGAATTTTTACCAATTATGGTATTTCTTATTTAACTGAAATACTTTCCGTAGCTCTGTTTTGGACTAGTGTCTGTGAATATTGTGGTCAGCCATTGATTACAGTATTACTTGAGGTATTAATTACTTATCTGTTTGAATTTTATCTTAGGATTGTTACTTCAAGATATTAACACATGAAAGGGCAGAAATATTTATGGCAATTGCTTTGCTCTTCAAAATAATCTGTAATTGATGATGATAGTCCTCAGGGATGTTGCACGATATAGTCTGATAGACAGTTACTGGTATTTAATAGATGCTTACTGCCTTCATCATCAGGACATTGAGGGCATCTGCCTGATGATGTAGGCAGTTGGCACCTCTGAAATGTTTGTTAACTTCTACCGGGCTATGTGAAATAACATCCCAGAAAGCTATCATCTTCATACTTGCTGCTGTGAGAACCTGAAATTTAATCTGTAATTGCAGGACATTTAAAGGTGGAAACAGTCATTTTGGAAGTTACAGAAGAAGAGGTGGAACTGAAACTGGCAACAGTTGGAGAGGCAATGAAAGAAATATAAAAGGCTATGATGCAAAGAAGGAACCAGGAGGAAATCTGTATAAGCAAAAATGGGACCTATCAAAGTTGCGTCCATTTACCAAGGACTTGTACCAGCCTGATGCAGCTGTAGAAAACAGGTAAGTTGCAGCATGTGGGTACAAGGACATGAAATAGTGAATTGGATATTTACTTATCATGAGATAATGAAAGTGGGAAATGTATGAAGTGCAGGTTTCCAACATATTCACTGCCAGATATTTAAAAGCAGATGGTAATTAAGTACCAAAGCTTAAATACCAAGCTATAAAGAGTGGTGTTTTAAGTTGAGGTTTTACAGCACTGACAGTTTTAAAGCATATTCAATAAAATAAACACTCCTGTTTTGGCAGTGAACGTGTTAAGACAGTATTTGCCCTAATATCCTTGTAGTATGAGTAATTGATGTAGATATTGATAATAAGTAGCAGATCTTTTGGACACTTTAATTTAGTCCTGGAATGTAAAGGATCAAGGATTGTTGTGTGTTTGAATACAGATGTTACTGCATGTGCATTGTTGGACACATGTCTACCCTCTATTCACATGTCACCAAAATGGAATATTCAGCAGAGGAGTTATTATCATGATGACCAATGACATGAAACAACTACAACTTCCCTCACAATGAACTCCTTTTGGGCTTGTCCATATCTGTCTTTGTCACATTTTTCTGGGAAGTGGTCACCTCACATCACCAGAGTCATTGTTAGAATTTATTTTCATGCAAAATTAGGGACTGGGCTGTTGTTGGAATTGATTATTGCAATCATGGAACAAAGGTAATTGTTAGAGAAATTTTTACGAAAGGTTCTTGTTGGCTCACAATAGTGACCTAGATTACATTGCAACAATGATCTTGCCTTTGTTGTTCCGTTTGAATATGAATGATATAAGTCTGCAGTTCCGAGCCATGGTCATCAACAAAGCAACCTGCTGACAATATGAACCATGATGTGGTTTGAAGAATATCTTTGGAATTTTAGTGTACTGCTTCAGAGTATGGTAACTGGTTTCTATGCATTTCTTGTCTGCACAGTTTATTTCTTATTTATAAAGTTAAGTAACAAATGTCTAGTTGTAGTAATAGTCAGTGTTTTATTATGTTGTGTGTTCTATAACAATTTGGAGTAGTTTGGTTTCTTTTTGTTAAAATGTTTTCTCATTATGCTTGTGTTGGGTCTAGCAATCAGAAATGAAATGTGAATTCTGAATAACATCGCTGTTAGATTTGTTCTAAAAGAAGTAGTAGTGTATAGTTTTACATTGTATGACCAGAGTGTATGGGTTGATTTTTACAAATTCTAAATAATGATAGGTAAGGGGAGAAGGCTGAAGTATATGTAATCTCTGAAGTATAACCACTGCTGGAGGAACTTGGCTAATTGACAGTACGTCTTTGAGTGTTCTGAACTTGTAATTTTATGGTTTTGTATTTAGAATTAAGAAAACCATCCATTACAGGATGACAGAGCTTGAAAAGAACAAGAATGTACTTGAGCCTGAGCTTTTGTTTGTGGTTAGGATAGAATGACCAAACATAATGGACTTGCAGGATTACATGACATGAAGCTGTGTTGTTAAGTGAATCCTTTGATGTTATAGGCACATTAGTGTATTGGAATTTGGCACCAAATTTTTGCGTGATCAATTTATATGAGATTAAAATTAGTGATTTTTTTGTGACAGTTGATTGGTAATTTTTGCAGACCTAAGGTTGAAGTTGAGGAATTCAGAGCTACACACCAAATTACAGTGAAGGGAGATGCACCAAATCCTATTCAATGCTTTGAGGAAGTAAACTTCCCTGAATATGTGGTAGATGAAATCAGGTAAGAAGTTGTGATACATAAAAAATAAGAGGATATGTTTGTATGGCCAGGACCACAACTTTAATAGCCTGAGTCACCATATAACGACCAAATTTCTTTGTTTTGGATCTAGCCAAAAATGAAGTGAAGCTCAGACAGAACAGTGGTTGGGATTAGGTTGTAATGTTATGTCTGTGTAGGTCAGTTATATTGGAATTTAAGCCATATGTGGCACTTCATACCTTTTTAAGTTTTCAGTAGCAATTTCAGCCTCAACAAAATTGGGCTTAGTTCCCACTACTGACTGCTGTATGTATTTCAGTCTGTCTGATGTTGGTAATAAATGGAACTAGTTTTTCTGCTTGTTCAAAATACTGTGGAAATATATAAGTAGATTCCCATTCTAACCTTGTACCAAGTTAGTCGTAGGTAAATGGCCCTTATATTTATGCATGTCTTTATAAAAATGTATTTTATTTTTAATAATTTTTAGCTGCTTATTTTAAGCTTGTTGTGTCTTTTGGGTATATCCTTTTTCCCCTCTGAAATTTCTACTAGTTTCATATCTTAAATTACTCAGATTGTCTACATTAATTTTGATCCATATTCTGCAACCATTGCAATGCATTCTGTTTCCTTTGATCTAATGGCATTGAGCACTATGGTTTAAACCATGATTTATTGGTTTATAAGCACTGTTAATTTTTTATTTATTTATTTTTAGTTTACTAATGACAGTATCCTCAGACTCTATAGCATTGAATGAGACCATGATGGTGAATAATTAATCGGAAAAGATGTGGAAGGAAGTGGTCATGGCCTAATTTAAGGTATTACCCCAGCATTTGCCTGGAGGGACTGTGGAAAATGACAGTAAAACCCCAGTCAGGATAGTCTGTCTCTGCACAGAGATTTGAACTGAGGCCCTCCCGAATATGAAGTAGGAGTGTTAACCACTCCACCATTATGCTTGGTAGTACTGTTGATGTCAGCATTTTCATCAAAGGTTTCCATACCCACAAACTTAGTTGAGACATAACCTGATATTTTGCTTAGGTAATACCATGGAATCTGTAAGAGTCTGATGACTGTTGTGATGTTTGATTATATGTTTGTCTTTTTTGTAGGAAGGTGTCGTTAGCACTGTTCTCAGGCTCAAAGTAGGCAGTGTATATCATGCATGTCCTAGACCACACAGTACCTAGAATATGAGTTTCAGATCAATATGTGAATTTCTGAATCCCATACTTGGACATATATTATTGTGAAAAAAATTTGTTTAAGTGAATGCAGTAGGAAGGTATGAACAGATACAACACTTGCAAAAGCAAAGGACTTTCTAGTTTTAGACCAAGCATAACAGTTCAGTATAGCACTCCTGCTTTGTATTCAGGAGATACTGAGTTCAAATCTCAGACATGAGAGTGGTTATCCTGATGGGTTTTCCTGACTTTCCTCAGACCCTCCATGCAGTGCCAATATAGACATTAAATTAGGCCATAACTCCTTCATTTCTTATCTTTTCCACTTCCTTATTTATTGATCATTCTATCATTCAGTGCCATAGTCTGACCTAATGACAGCATTGTTAAATAAACAAGTTCACAGCAGAATCCAACTAAGCAAAGATATTTCATTCATCCTTCATAATTTTCATCTTCTGTGTATTGAACAATTTTGTTAACACCTTGACAGTGTGGTGACCATGTACTTGGGGGCCTATTTAGTAGGCATCTCCACATTATCTGTCAAACTTCTCACAGAATTTGTTCATTTCAAACATACTGTGATAGTAAATAACTGGCTTTGTCAAATCATGTTTGATGCAAAAGAGGCATAAATAATTTGGTCATCATATTGCAGAGGTGGAGATAAATAAAGATATATACAACTGATGGGAATACACATTCTTATATACATTTTTACAGAAAGTCTGGATTTGAAACACCTACAGCTATCCAGTGTCAGGGCTGGCCAATTGCCATGAGTGGTCATGATATGGTGGGAATAGCTCAGACTGGCTCAGGGAAGACATTGGCTGTAAGTACAACATAGCCAGTTGATGGTGAAACCTTTTCAGAGGATATTCCTTTTGTAATATTGGCATAGTTTGCCTTGACTGTATGTAACTTCTTCAGACTAAACCCTGGA